TTGAGGTATATAGAAATCCACGTAGAAAACAATATTCACTTTAGAAGTTCTTTGGCTTTCAGTTTTTTGTTCCAGAAGAAACAAGTTTTTAGGAAAGTACTTTTTTGATAGTTTGTCAGACTGAATGTTGATTGGTGATGACGAAAGATTTGTTAAATTACCTAAATTCAACGAGGTGAATTTAGTTTTCTTCTCATTTTTATATCTTAAGATTTCTTGCGAGAAAAGTGGTAGTAAAATGGCGAAATATCGCTAACTATGGACAGCTGAAGAATATTTGCTGACCTGCCACTGCAACCGATTTTCGTTGAAAGTTATAGATCAATAGATTTAGTTCGCTTTATCTAACCGAAAATATATATACAGTGTTGTGCATAACATAAACAACCAAAATAAGCATATCAAATAAATAAGTTTTTTTGTCTACATTTTACTTTTCATTTAAAAACTTTAATACATAGTTTTATTTGTTATTGTATTGGCTACTATGAAAAATAAATCCAAGTATTTAAAAATAGACATATTGACCAATAATTATATAGAAATAATATAGATGAATTGGAAGACTCATAAAGAATAACTAGCATTAATGAATTAATTATAAACTAATTAATCATATCAATTACTTAATACTATTATATTTTGTAGACTTATTCTATTACTACTAAATATTTACTCTTACAATATGAAAATATATACATATGTTTACGCATATGTAATATACGAGTATGTACAATATACAATAGAAATAATAAAGGCGGGAGCGACCATGGCCGTCTTTGGTTTATTCAATTTGTTTGTCGCGATCTTCATATTATGATTTCATATTAAACAAACTTGTGTATATACGTACATATATTGTATTTTATTTAATTATTTCCAGCCTTATCAGTAGAATCAGAGCTGAATTAATCTCATAAATGCAATATATAGTATAAGTGCAAATTTATTTATTTTAAAAATGTATATTAACTAATGTGTAGTAGATTGTTTATGAAGTCAAACTAAATTAAGAACAATAAAAACAATTTTTCTTTAAATGTTTTCTTAATAAAATCAAAAAATAAAAACATAATAATCAAGAAATTATTTTTTAAAATAGAGAAATTTCAATACATTTTCGGCACTTTGATAATTCAAAAATAAAATGTTTTATTGTTGCAATAGTTTATTAAGTAATAGCATAAAAAAAATATAATTTATAGATTCATATGTAATATTTAATTACATGATTTCTTTAATACCTATTCCATACTTATACTCGGGATAACGATAACCCCAACTGTACATTCATGTTGAGTTTTTTTCGATTTAGTACATCTGGGCACTTTTAATCTTTGATAGCTAGGGATTTCTGCAAAATCCCACCCCTCTCACTGCCTAATTTATATATTCCTCAATAGGTTCGTGTTTATTAGATGACTGATCTAAAATTTGCGTACCGCCCCGTGTGGGTAAAGATTACTCTGAGATTAGATAGTGCTAAGTTGGGCAGCCTGTCTGTTTCCACAAATAGCTTCAGGGCTCTGTCCCTAATGTATTTTTTGGCCCGGGTCTATTCTAAGGTCTCTTAGCATTTGTGCGAATATACCAAGACACTTTCAAGAGACTTCGGAGAGCCTGTACGTACAAGTACAATAAAAGATCACACAAAATAGCGTATCTCAACGAAGTATACACTATGTGGATTGGTAAATATCCGGTCTGAGTAATAAAAACGCATTTTTCTTTTATGCGTCAATATAGTCACTTTTTAGCACGCACTTTTTAAATAATACGAGTTATCCGCTTTATTTAATGCAAATCTCTTTCCCTGGAATCATCTTTTAAAGATTGGAAACAGGTAATAGCCAAATCTGAAGAATACGGTGGGTGAGGAAGGAAAAACTTATGGTACAGTTACAGTCTGATAACTCGTTTAAAGCTTTCCAAATATACAAAGTATAATTGATTTTATTTTGGCATTACCACCTATTTTGAAGTCAGCTTATCATCGATCCATCTAGTATAATACACTATCAAAAGCATCGAACTGAAAAAAGGGGTGCAAATTATTATAAACTGCAAGATAAACTTTAAGAATTAAAAGTGGTGGTAGTATAAAAACTAACACGACCTAAATGTTTATAATATAAAAATAGTAGAAATGAAGAGAGGTAGAATACGACGTACAGTTAAAATTAGTTTACCATCATTCACAATACTCATTTGAGACCAGAGCATATACTTATAAACTAATCCAAAAATTTGATTATTGAAGAACATCAATTTAGATCAAACTATGTTGTCATAAGTCGAAACTAAACTAATCTTATTCTTATTGCTACGATTCTTTTTTTTTTTATCATATACTTTTACCTCTCCTTTTTACAAGAACATATAATCCATAAATCACGAATTCATAGAATATATAAATTTTTTTTTAACCGAATTAAATAATATATAAAGACCCATAAAATAAGAATTACTTGTTAGAGTTCATTTGTAATTGTCAATATGTACCATACTATTGTTATATAAGATTATGATAAAAAAAAATAAGGTCAAATTGTTTATAAATTTAAAATCTTTATTTATTCTTTAAATCCATTTAATTTTCTTTCAAACCAATACATTATACTTTTACTAACTTTTTTTCAACCATAGAAACAAATTCGCAAACGATTTGGTATTTACTTCTCAATCATGTCAAATCGGTATCGTCAGAGTGGTCTCTTGAGCTTAGTAAAGAGCCGAAAGTTTTACTAGCACCATTGGATCAAGCGATTATAATAGTTATGGAATAATATAGGATAAAGTTATGACTAAATGTTATCGAAGCACCAATGCAGTGTGCGATGGTGTGATATAGTGGTGAAAAAACCAAAAAAATTTAGACTAAATTCTGGACACTTTTTTTTAATAGTTTCACATTAACTTTGCATGACACTCGAATAATATTTATTGTTAAACGTTTGACTTAGCTAAAGGGATTTCTAATGCACTACATCTCGATAATTAAAAAAAACTGTTAACATGATCTTGATTTCTGAACGTTTTTGGTGCAATTTGTCTTAATTGGTCGGTTGTTTTCAGGTCGTATGCATAGGTCTAAGTATTCTTTAGCACATTTTACGCTACATTGTTTTTCTAAAAAGAGATTTTACTCGTTTCAAGCACATCTTGCAGAATGGTTTGGACTGACTAATTGTCAATCAACGAATTTTAAGAACCAAATCTTTGAATTTCTTGACATGCTTTTTTTTTGAATTGTTAATACCGCTTGTAAATATTTTTTGTGACATAGCCGTGCAAAAAAACTGTTGTCAGAATAAAGAAGTCTAAGTATTTTATATAAAAATCGCCTTCGTCTTAAATTTTTATTACTTATTGTTAGTGTCTAAATAAATAAACTTCAAGTATGACATAAGACCCAGCAAATATCGATATCGCACCCATTTTTAAAGTTGTGTAAAGATTCTTGTTCTAAACATAGCAAATATTCTTTAAATCCGTTTTAAAAAAATGTCAGTACTTGAAATCCATGCCAATTCACGGTTTAAGAGACCTTTTTATTTATATGCAGCCAAAATCAATTCCACTTCTTGGTATAGCAAACTCTACGGTATTAACGGTACAGTTACGGTAGAGTAAATATTTGGTTCAGGAATGATCGGAATTTAGATCAATTGAATTAGATCATCAATTATATGTTTGCCATGGTTACAGTGCTCTGATTCACTTGGATTTTTTGTACTTTGTGAGGGGATGATTAAACTTTGTGAAGTTTAATTGTGTATATAATTAACCTTTTGTAAACAAGAAGCAATATCTGTCAATATCATTAATGTACTTATTTAATTTACAGGGCCCTAAAGATGCACCAAATTACTATATAGCATGTCAAGCACCACTCGAAGCCACCATTACTGATTTTTGGCGTATGATTTGGGAGCAACAGTCGCGTGTCATTATACAGGCTACTGATCTAATAGAGAACGGCAGTGAAAAATGTGCAGAATATTTACCACCTTCGGTGACACTTGATAATCACACTACGTTCGGAGATTTCCAAGTAACATTAAAAAATCGTGAAGTAAAAGAGAAATATGCCATATCAACACTAATACTTAAGAATACATTGAAAGACGCAAGCCGAGAACTAACACATTATTGGTATAAATGGCCAGAGACAGGTGTACCCAACGAAGAAGCACCAATAATCGCGATGCTGTTGGAAGCACGTTCATCTCTCAAAAGTTATGCTATTGAACAAGCAAATGAACTCAAGGGAAAATCATCAACAGCTACACTACGAAGTGAAGCGAATGGTATAGTGGGCAACGGTATCGATGAACTAAAAGATGTAAGCAACATATCGGGCAGTAGCACTGGTACTAATAGCAGTAATGGTGAAATAAATGGAAATATTACCACCGATAAATTTAAAGTGACCACAAATAAACATCAAGGGTAAGCCTCAATTATAATTATAATCTTTATTTTTGTCCTTGTGTTATTTGTGTTTTTCTTGTACTTTCGTCTGTTTGCTATCTTTCTTCATGTTTTCTCTATTTTTAGTCCCCTAACTGTTCACTGCTCTCCAGGTACTGGACGAACGGGCACGATTATTTCTTGTGATGTTGCTATACGCAGTTTGGAGACACCAAAACGTATTGTCGATATACCCCAAATTGTATATTACATAAGAAGGGGACGTGCTAGTGCTGTACAAACTAAGGAACAATACGAATTTATATATAAAGTTGCTAATATGTATGCAACTAAAATTACAAATTTATCAAATGATAATTAAAATTGCCTTATTTTAAAAATTATTATAATAAAACAACTCGATTAAGTCAAAAAGGTCCTTATGAACTAAATACTAAAATATTATTTATTATCATGCAAAGGCAATTGTTTTAAAACTCTTATTCTTATTTAAACTTTAAACTTATAAAACAATCTATTTTCTGAAATATAATTGTGAGCTTAGAAGTATTTATATATATACTGTATTTTTATATATTGTACTAGTTTCATTAATTTGTATAACTTTCTAATTCTAGTATATAAAAAATAATTCCATATTCTTTACAAACCATATTAGTTAATTATAAAAATTGGAATAAAATTATAGATTTATATTTTTTAAGATAATGTGCAACAGAAACAGGTCATAGCTGTTCCCATTTCTCTTTATGCATTTAAAATATATTTGTTTCAGTTTTCTACTTTATAGAAACTACGTAAATGTTCCGGTGCAAAAGGAACTAGGCGACCTATATTAAAAATGCTACCAAGATCCTCTTCAAGCTTAGCACAACACAAATAATTCTCATATTTCTTAGGTTAACCTGTTCATAGCTTTAAAATATATTATAAATTCTCAAGATACATATAGAAATACGCAAAATATTGCTAATTTTGCTTTATTTGTTATTTATTTATAATTTTATTGAATATTTATTGTAATTTTTCTTTGTATATATATATATATATATTTCATTGATATGTATGCCTCTATATTGTGATATAAATATTGTATTTTGTTTAATAATAATATTATGTTTCCATAAAAAGAATACATGCATATTCTTTATGTTATAGTTTATCTTAATTGTATATAAAAATAAAAAGTGCTTTAATTGTATAGAAATTAAAACTGTTTTCTTTTTGAAATAATTTTTATACTTTTGAAAAAATCAATGAACTAGATTCTATAAGAAAAAATATATAAAATACAGAAATAAGTGTAATTGTGAAACTGAAAGATCCTGGGGATACGATGAATTCGAAATGTGTTTAAAGCTTGATTTTGTAAAAGTGATTTAAGCCAATTGCTTTTTATGTATGTATATTAAAAGCTTCTTTCTCATTATTTTGTAGCATTATAATCCTTAATATACCAGTTCTTTCATAATCAATGCGTTCAATATTTTCAGAAGTATTAGCACAAGTTTCACGTATCTCATAGTCGTTCCATATTTTTCTCAAATGCTTATTTTGCCAATTACTGGAGATGTTCTTAGCACATATCCTAACTGTTTCAAACACTGAAGTTTATTGTATTTTATAACATTCCGCCCCTATATTATATAATCTAGTTAATGGTTGTACTAAATTCAGTAAGATCCACCAATTAGAAGCATTGAGTCATATATCGTCTTAAGTACTCTTCCTTCATACACCAAAAGCTGATTTCAAAAATATATTATAAATATAAGAACTAAGCGAATTATAAATATATATACGGATTTTGTAATTTTTTTATAGAGTTTTAGTTTTAAACAACTTAATTTCTTACAAAACGTGGTATTTTAAGCTGGAACTTCAATATGTATTGCTGCATAAATAAGGTTTTTAATATATTTGGTAAACAATGTCACTAAAATTGCCATCACAACATCAACAGTTGTTTTCTAGATCATCTTAAAACAAGGCACAACAATGTCTTTTGACCTATAATCACACCGAACTGCAATTACTTTTGGTTGTAATGATTTTTGTAAACATGTGCATGGATTCTCTTTGTACCGTTAAGAGAATTGGTAAGAGTAACTTAAAATATGTAGAGAAAAACATTGAAGGGTAACAATTCGATATCAAATATTATTCAAGCAGTTCGAATCTCTGTGAGTTCTGATATTCGAGTTCTGATATTCATATTTTCAAAATACTACTTGGCTACTTGTGGATAAACACGATTAGTCATCGCTTCAAATTTGACAGGCACGAGTTTTAAGCTTGGCACTTGCAGTCCAAACAAATTATATACGAACTATAAACTAATTAAATAAAAATTCGATTATTTCCTAAGACCACTGATGAGAAGTACTTGGCAATACTCGAAACAGCGTTGTATGGTCAGCCAAACTTCAATAAATTAAATAAAATTTTTGTCTTTGTCCTTTCTTTCTTTGCTATTCGAATCCGTCTTAGTTTTATTTTTTTTATAACGAAAAGCAATTATATGTCAAAAGTCTAGGTAACTATACTAAGGAAATTTCGAGAATACAGAATTATTGTTGCCAACAAACAGGCCTGTTATCTATTTTATTTGTCTTATAAAACTCAGAGAGTTTAAGACAAATCTAAGCCTTTAATGAAACCAACAAGGGAAGACTTGTTGACTGATATCCTTTAGATGGACCAGTGGCGTAACTACATTTTTTAGGCCTGTAAGCAAATTCTAACTAAAGGGCCCCTATCAACATACTAAGGGGCCCCTCTTTTTATACTCTTTACACGAAAAATGTGAAAAGGGTATATAAGGTTTGTCAAGATTTTCGTAACGTATTAAAGGAAACGTCGGAAATACCATTAAGTATATATCAGTACAGTATCAGTTCAAACTACTCTCTCAGCTTTTGAACTCTTCGAATAAAACTTTACACACACACTTTTAGCCGACCCTGTTCACCATTTGATTTGATTGAAATTGGACGTCTATTTCTTGTAGCTGTGATATATGTAAACTTAACAATCGGATATGAGGTTTCTCCGTTTTTAATAAAGGTATTTAAATAGAATTTGGTGTATACAGTACTGATATTTGCAAAAGACAACATACAAAATTATTTTCAAATGGGTTTAAATCTAGATATACCTTCCATATAAACTCTCGATTAAGACACATACTTTTCTTAGAAAAACTTTTTTATTTTATAAATAGATTTAATATTTTATTTGAAGTACATACATATTATGTACTTTAAATTTAAAATTTACGTATCTTTTATAAAATGCAATATGAAGTTATAACAACAAAAAACGTTTACAAACATTTACAGTGGGGCCCCCTAAATTCGGGGGCCCGAAAGCGTTGCTTCCAGTTGCTTCCCTGTAGTTACGCCACTGAGATGGACTGACTTGTCTGAAAATTTATTATAAGACTAGTGACAGCAACGTGGATTTGAGGTTTTATTAGATTTATTTGGACGAATTCTCTTAAAATTTATTACATTTCACACAATTATGCTTTATTTAAGCATAATTATCTTAATTTACTATAATACTAATATCTCTATACGCAAAATTTATCTGGGCTTTTGTAAGTTCTGTTTACTGTTAATCGAATTCTCTTAAATTTTATTTTCCATTTTGCATAATCACACTTCTTCAAGAACACTTAATGAATGTTTTAGTAACATTTTTATTTTAATAATACAAAATTTCAACAGTAAAATTTGGCTTTAAAAAAAAATATAAATTTAAATAAATTAAATATTAAATTTAATTTTGTCTTTCAATTCACAATAATTTATTTTTCAAAAAAAACTTCGAAACAATTATATGAGATAATGAAATAGATCTTATAACCTTCCTCTATCGCACAATAATATACGATAAAAGATTTATTTTGTTATATTTTGATTTATAAATATATATTTATATTTGTTAGTAATAAAAATGTATATCATTTTAAATATATGTAAATTAAGGTCAGTCTGATGAAATGATATACAATAATCCAGTCAAGGCGTAAAGAGGGGTTTTGAAGATAAAAGTAAAAGTCAAGAACTTTAATTGACGTTTTGTATTTCATACAATATTATTTTAGTTTTGTTTACGATATACTCACGCTTCCGAATAATACGCTCTTGCTTAAAGTTCCATTGTAACCGCACCTTAAACCATAGGTAAATATTTGGCGTTGAGATTAATATAAACAATAAGGACGATATGAAGTTAGCAAATTTAGTAATATTACTATTTATATATATTGCATTTGCATGTGCAAATAATGATAACAAATTCAGAGTGAAAATAGGCATTAAGAAGCGAATTGAAAATTGTACTGTAAAAGCGAAAAACCGAGATACGGTGCATGTGCACTATCGAGTAAGAAATTAGCATATAAATTTCTCATAATGTTTTATATAAAATCTTTTATTGAAGGGTACTTTAGAGGATGGGAAAGAATTCGATTCTAGTCTTAATCGCACACCATTTATTTTTACATTGGGTACACATCAGGTCATAAGAGGATGGGATCAAGGTATACTTGGTATGTGTGTAGGAGAAAAACGCCGATTGGTTATACCACCCGAATTGGGTTATGGTAAAAGTGGTTCTGGTGACCGTATACCACCAAACGCTGTTTTAATTTTTGAAGTAGAACTAATGAAAATTGAAGGCAAAGATGAACT